TGCCCTAGTATTAACGTGAGACTTTTACAAGAATGACACCCAGCTCTGATGATGTCCATCATATGATGGATCTTTTCACCAGAAATGAGGGTAAAAGTCTTGTTGACTGCGTCAACATGAATATCGTATAAAAGCCAAATGGCTGCAGTATAACGAGATTTATCCGTCCTCATCTGGTGAGATCGACTAACGAATCTTTTCTTCATTCACTTTCATACGAAATGAAAGTCACTTTAACAATGTTATTTCAAGAGATTCATCGAAACCCAGTTTCTCACTGTTTTTTAATGCCATAGCTTGCCAGTGATTAAATGGCTATAATGGCGTGCTAAGAAATATTGCATGTTTACATCTAAGTCTACAAATCGTGATGTGGATCATGCAGAACAAAATTAATATAAACTAATAAGTAGTATCAACACCAATTTTTTATGAATAATAATCCCCATGGCAGCAAATCAAACTATCTTGAAACGAATTTACCCAAAATTTCGTAATTGCAATAATTAAATTAGAGAATTTTCGAAGACTATTTAATCATATAAGATGGTATAGTGATTTTCAATCTAAAAGGCAATATCATATTTTATTTTAGGGCTAATATAGAGCATGAGTTAGGAATATGCTGAATGCTCTGAAAGAAAATACTCATTTACTTATAAGCAACAGATAAGTGAATAGAAAAATGAAAGGATATTTGATCAAAGAAATGAATTTTAGTACCAAACCAATTACTAAATTTTTTTCAAAGAATGTACAAGGCAGGATAATAAAATTAAGAAAAATTATAAAACAAATAAAGCCCTTCGATAATCGCATTCGGAAGAAAATAATTCGTAATGTAAATGCAAGATGTGAAAGAACAGGGATAGAGAACGTTTTTCATCTTCCAGACATAATAAGTAGATAGCATACAGACGCAATGAATGTGGAAGTAAACTAAAAATTCCATTCTCCATGTTATCAAGGTTATGGAGGTTTGACACTAGGAGCTAAAGTTATTTATTAGAAAATACGAGCGAAAATAATATTACTAAACAGCTTACAGGTGACTCACAAATCCAATAAAATTACCAAGCTTGTACATCCTAGCATAAACACTGATTATTGATCCTAGGATTAATAGTGTGATCTACGGGATAGGCTTATTTTACCAACAAGACAAAAAAAGATTAAACCAAAATAATGTAATCACTTGAGCTCAAAAAATATAGAGGTAGGTTTATAAAATCGCGAAATGCCAATAAGATAATCCATGGTTGTTTGGTCCATATCATATATATGCATGTGTATAAAGCGATATAAACTGTCCTTTAATAATATTTTTTACTAGGTGAATTAAGCGAAAAATAAATATCAAGTAGAAAAATGTATATAGAAACCTAAGGTACAATCAATAAAAAGTGACTGACCTTTAGGATACATTTCCGTTATAAATGCAGGCATTTTTAAAATACGGCTTGCATCTAGCATACGTTTTGTAACAAGTACTACTGCATCGAAGTGTGAAATGGAAGTGCGAAATTTTTCCTGTATATCGCAAATTAACAGGGCAGTCCGAGAAAGATTTAGTTTGCCTATGTGTCTAGATATAGCCATTGCACCAGGTATTGAGTTTCTATCAAGATGGTTCTTTGAAAATTATGGACAATTATAAAATAACTAAAATAAAAAATATTTTAGGATATTGTCAAGCATATATATGAAGGCGAATAAAAAGCAATAGATTAAAAAATTATACATTTAGTAATTGAAATTGTAACAATAATTTATTCTCACTCAATCGCAAATATTTACTAACTGGCCTAAAGCCTTAAGCTTAGATAATTATTTAATCATGCATCGAATAGATGAAGGTAATCAGCCATATATAAAAATACATAATCAATCATTAATAGATATGTACAATCACTAAATATATTTTAGCAATAACGTTTGCAAGAAGTATTTATATCCTACACGAAATAATGATAAAAGTTAGGGGATATAAGCCAATAATTTACCCACATGCCAGTTACTTAAAATAAAAGTTTAATTTCAAATACAATAATTTTAAAAAAGTCTAAATATGAAAAACAATTATATGATAAAAAGGACAAACTGAAGATATAATTGAATTAGCGATGAGATAATTCTAAACAGACACTACGAGATAA